AGTTGATATGGGTCTGGCTTGATGAATGTTGATAATCACATGCGTGCGGAACAGCACTTGTGCATGCTGAGGGAGGGCGTGTAAGATGGCCATTGCTTCGAATCTCGATCTCGACACTCCTGCACAAACAGCCGACATCAAGTGATGCGGTTGATCCAATATTATCACGTTACTCAACCACTCCGAAACGTGGATCGCGACTTCCTGGCGTTTGTGGGTGAGTTCCATCTATGGATGTACAGTACCTGCTGCCTTCCTTTGTTGACGTCATACCTACCTAGTAACTACTAAGGTAGGCACCTAAGCTCCTGCCCGCCAACAGCTCCTTCTATGTACCTATGTGCCTCCCTGTGCGCGGCGCGTCACTGCAATTCTCGACAAAAATGACATCATTGCACCACTGTAGTTGCCTTGATGAGATATCTTCCTTCGTGATGGACTTCCTTCAAATTACTATAAAGCGTTCTCCTCTCCCGCCTCTCGACTCAACTTGATTCCTTCATCAACATCTTTGAATTCCAAACACTATCAAGAACCCCATCCTACACAGGCACAAACAAACCACAAATCCTACCAATCCCATCAATCAATCAACATGTCTGATACTCCCCAACCTTCCACTCTCAAGTCCGTCGTCGACTCCGCCTCCGGTGCTGTTCAGAGTGCTATTGGCAGTCTCACTGGAAACACCAGCGACCAGGCCGCTGGCGACCTCAAGAAGCAGAAGGCAGAAGCCGAACATGATGCGTCCCACGCTACCGCCAAGCTCCCCGGTGTCACCCTCTCTGGCTCCGGTGCCGCCGCCAAAGATGACCCCAACCGCACTGAGGGTTCTTGGAACCAGACCGCTGGCTCCGCTAAGGAGGCTATTGGTGGAATCATCGGCAGCGAGGTAAGATTGATAACTCCAGTCATGCTTACTTTACTAACATGATTGATAGTCCCTGAAGAAGGCTGGCCATGAGCAGAATCTCGAGGGTAGAAACCAGGAGGCCAAGGGTCAGCTCAGCGATCTCGGTACTGGTATCAGCGACCGTGTCCAGGGTACTGTTGGTGGTGCTGTCTCCAATCTCACCGGCAACAAGGAGCAGGAGGCCCACTACGACGAGCTTCGTGCTGAGGGCAAGACCCGCCAGCGTGGTGTTGAGCACGACATCCAGAAGCAGGCTGAGGCAGAGAGCCGCGAATAAACCGGCAAATCACACACTGGTGCCGGCGCAAGGTGGAAAGCATGAAGAGACCAGAATATGATACCCCAAAGTTGTGGCATGGACGGAAGAGGAAGATCCCACTAGACACTCCTAATAAACACCATCAATAGTTACTTAAACGTTGCGATTTGTGAACTTTGACTGCCGTGCTCGTTCTGTGATACCGCAATTGCATGCCTTCTGGAGCAAAAAGACTAAGGATCTGGTTACGAAGCAGTAGAACGATTTGGGTAAGTTACTAACAACTTAGGGCTTTTGTTAAGAGGATTACCTTATCACTTAGGATCCAGGTCTCAAGTTTTCTTGCCTCCCTGGTGTGCAGCTCACCCTCACACACCAACCCATTACTGCATTCAAGTGCCAAATCACATCGATTGTCATGGCCATATGGGTTTTCAGCTACAAAAGGAGCAAACTTAATAAATATAGTGGTGAGTCCAGAATCTCGAATAAAAAAACTTGCAGTTTTCACCCAAGCACAGGCACTATCATTATGAAGTTCATGTGCTGTCTCCGAAGAGTTTTGCCTTTATTTCGACATTCCTTTGAGTAAATGTTTTGTCATGATCAAAGATACTATGGAGGGGTGTTGTTTCTTACCACCTCAGCGGCTAATTTTCGACTGGTGGCCATTATGAAAACGCATTTTGCCATGGTTTCCTGATTGACACAATCCGGCACGCATTGGCTGATCTATTATGGACACGAGAAGTAAAGAGCTATCATGACACCTCAACACTGAACGTGGGAGGAGACTCCTCACTTGGCGCCATGGCTAAGAATGCAATTCTTAGATAATGCGTGACCCTGAGCTTCGGTGACTACGAGAAGCTGGAATAGCAGAAGAAGCACCGGAATTCTCTATACAAGAGCATCTCAGGAAGGGGGCGGGG